ATCCTTGGGGGCGGGGGGGTCGAAGGCGTTGAGGGGTAGGCGAGGGTCCAAGCCCTGTCCCCGCCCGGCGCCGCCCCTCTCCGCCCATGATGGCCCGCGGGCCTAGTGCCCTCCGCCGCCCTTCTGTGTTAGTTCCTACTTTTCTGCCTCCCTCCGTGCGGAGTCCAATAATGCAGAAAAGGTCTTCTCTGGCCTCCGGCCCTTGGGACTTGGTGCGGCGCCTGGCTGAGCCTCCCCGGCAGAGGTTCTTTCCTCACGCGGTGACCCACGCCGTGTCCTCGCCAGTGGAGAGACCGAGGACGACCCAGCGCCCGCGCCAAAACAAGCAACAAGTGGGGACTCCTTCCCACACCTCTCCCGCTTGATAATCAAACCAGCTTTTAGAAAACTATTACTTGTTTGAAGCTACCCATTTTTCCATTTAGTCGTTTTTAGAGGAGTTTTATACAAGTGATAACTTCACTAGTGCAATATAAAGTCATATGTTGGTAACTTATTTCCACACAGAAATGCCCTTCTGGACTTCAGGATTCGTCAAGGATTTAGAGAGCTTGAGTTTATAAACCTTTCTGGACTCATTTCTTTAGATACTGGCCGAATGTGCTGCTAATACAGAGTAATAACAGGAGACTTAATTTTTGTCAATGAAAACAGAAAAATGTTCACTCCTATTTTAATGAAAAGCAATTAAAGATAACTATAATTAAAATGTGGAGCCCTGGTGGCGCAGCGGTTAAGAGCTCAGCTGCTAACCAAAAGGTCGACAGTTGAAATCCATCAGCGGCTCCTTGGAAACCCTATGGGGTAGATCTTCTCCTATAGGGTCACTATGAGTCAGAATCAACCGGATGCAACAAGTTTATCGTTAAAATCTAGCTTAAGAATTATTACTGACTTTAGAAATTGTGTTCTTGAATAGTAGGGCCCGTTTTAAAAGAAAACAAAGTGCAAAGAAATAAGGCAGGGAGGAAAGTTTTTAAGTGGTTCAAGTGTGACTGAATATCTGAAATTGGATCTTCAGGTGATCCAATCAGTTTTCATAACTGAATAGCATATATAAGGTTGATATAATTGGTTGTGTTATTCACCAGACTGACTACTTACTATCTTCAGTTCTTACTTGAATGTATTAAACCGCATCATAATGGTCTGACCCAGTTATCTATGGTGTTGCCATGAGTGGGGGCTGACTCAACCGCCACTAACAGTCATTGTTGTTAGTTGCTTTGGAGTCCATTCCAACTCCTGGCGACCCCATGTGTGCAGAGTAGAACTGCTTTATAGGGTTTTCAAGGCTGTGACCTTTCAGAAGCAGATCACCAGGCCTATCTTCTGAGATGCTACTGGATGGGTTTGAACCACCGACATTTCATCTGGTAGTCAAGTGCTTAACCGTTGTCACCACCCAGGCTGCCTACCACTATTATTACCCTGATGTAAATAAAAATCAGCTCTCAAATGTCTAACCACAGTGAACTGCAGAATGTAGACTGAAATAGAATGGTCAGAGAGGTTCGTGGTAGTAACAAAAAGTACTATTAGAAAAGAAACAAACTTTTCAAACCTTTTTAAAAACCCATTCAGGAGAAATTATGAGATACATGGGAGTATCGGGGTGACAGTGTCTCCCTATCTGTTCTGTAAAAGACAAAGAGCCGGAGACTGCGCAGTATGATGAGTGAGCCCTGACTAAGCAGTGGGACCCTGCAAGGATGGAGAACGATTTCTGAAGTTATGGAGACCCAGGGCTTCTGCACTAGGGGGAGTTATGGGAGGCATCACAGCTCTGATAATTCATGTGCCTGTGTGACCTTAAATAAGTTTCTCAGTTGCAACCTTAGTTTCTACATTTGTAAAAGGGTGAGGGGGTTGTCCTAATATTAACTGTATCACATAATTGTGAAGATTATATAATACATGGAAACTATTTAACTTGATGCCTGGTTCATCATAATTATTATTACTAGGTAATGTATATTTTGTGGGTCAGGCACTGCTTTAAGCTCTTTTGTATGTATATATTATCTCCTTTCATGTTAACAACAATCCTATGAGGTTAGTGTTATCATCATCCCCATGTTAGAGATGAAGAAACCGAGGCTTCTAGTGTCTAAGTAGTGAATACCCAAAGTCACACTGGTACTAAGGGTCAGAGCTGCAATTCAGTCGTAGATCTCTCTGACTCCACAATATGAGCTCCTAACCACTAAATTGAAATAATAATGATAACAATAACATAGAAACAGCTTTAATGTAGAGATGTTGCTTCTGACTCTTAGCAACCCCGTGTACAACAGAACAAAACGCTGCCTGGTCCTGCGCCTTCCTCACAGTCGTTGCTACATTTGAGCCCATTGTTGCAGCCACTGTGTCAGTCTATCTAGTTGAGGGTCTTCCTCTTTTTCGCTGACCCTTCTACCTTAACAAGCATGATGTTCTTCTCCAGGGATTGGTCTGTCCTGATAACATGTCCAAAGTACATGAGATGAAGTCTTGCCATCCTCCTCACTTCTAAGGAGCATTCTGGCTGTACTTCTTCAAAGAAGTATAGAGATAAAAGTGTCTACTTATTTAAATTTCCATGCTTGGCTGAATTTCTAACATTTCTTGGATGTAGACGTGTTCTTTTCTTGGTGGTCCACCATCTAACCCTTCTTTCTATCAACAACTCAGTCTCCCTTTGGGAAATCTTCTCTCTGCCCTACCTATACCCATCACAGCTAAGAAGCGTGCCCAGAACTCTGACTCTTGAGGAAATGGTGCAAATGGTGCCTGGAAGAGGAGGGGGACCAGTTTGTTCCTGCTGCCAACCCCAACAGCTTTGTAATAAATCCTTGTTTTGCTCAAGGTAACTACTTCCTGTTGTTTGCAACCATGAACACAGATTGATACACTTGCTATAAAATGGCAATGGCAAAGAGTCATACTGAAATCTAACTTCTGAGTAGGGTGTATTAGTTTCCAAGGGCTGCCATAACAAAGTACTACAATCTGGGTGGCTCAAAACAACAGAATATTATTCTCTCAAAGTTCTGGAGGCTAGAAGTCCAAATTCAGGGTGTTGGCAGGGCCATGCCCTTTCTGAAGGCTCTAGGGGAAGAGCCTTCCTTGTTTCTTCCAGCTTCTGGTAGCCCCAGGCGTTCCTTGGTTTCTGGCAAACCCTAATCTGGAGTCCCTGAGTGGTACAAATGGTTAATGGTAACACTCTCTGATGTTAACCAAAAGGTCGGAGGTTCAAGTCCACCCAGAGGTGCCTCAGAAGAAAGGCCTGGTGATCCACTTCCAAAAAATTAGCCACTGAAAGCCCTACGGAACACAGTTCTACTCTCTTACACATGGGGATGCCATTAGCCGAATCAACTCAATGCCAACTGTTTTTTTTTTAAAAACTCCAATCTCTGCCTCAGTTTTCACACGGCTGTCTTCGCTCTACATCTGTCTCTCAGTTTTCTCTTCTTATAAGGATACCAGTCATATGGGATTAGAGCCCATCCTACTCCAGTGTGATCTCATGGTAACTGATTGTTCTTGTTGGTTGTTGTAAGCTCCCTTAGAGTCGATTCCGCCTCATGGCCACACCATGTGTGCAGAGTAGAACTGTGCTCCATAGGGTTTTCAAGGCTATGACCTTTCAGAAGTAGATCATCAGGCCTGTCTTTTGAGGCCACCTCTGGGTGGGTTCGAATCACCAGCCTTTTAGCTAGTAGTCAAGTGCTTAATGATCCAAATAAGGTCGCATTTACAGGTACTGGAGGTTAGAACTTCAACATATCTTTTGGGGGAACACAAATCAACCCATAAAACAGAGGCAGGGAAGCAGAGTTCTGCCTATTCCTCCTTAAGTCATAGCTTCTAGAGACAGAAGGACCCTTATTGATTATCCTTTAGCATCCTCATTTTAAAGAAGAAGAATCAGACTCTGTGAGACCAAACGACTTGCCCAAGGTCGCCAAGCTGAAAGTAGCTGAGTCATAATTTGAACTGATGTGCCCCAATTTCAAGTCTGATTTGATTTCTAATATGACACACTTCTTC